CCCAGAGGAAGGCAAAAATGAATCAGGAAATCTGAGCTTTGATTTTGGTTCTGACATTCTCTGGCTATGAGATCTAAGCCCTTAACTTCTTAGCGCTTCAGGTTTTCTTTCCACTTATAAAATTCGGAGGTGAAACTTGCATGATCCAGCCTTAAAATGGATTTCTCAAAAATTACTCAATTGGGAGTGTTTTGAAAGGATTTTACGATTTCCAGATGGCCAGCAGGGATTCATGGCATTACAATAGAGAGGGGAAGTCAGAAGTTATTTAGACCTTCTTCCTTAGCTCACCACACCTATCCCTTCATAGAGGAAGGGGTATTTTGGATACAGAGAGTGCTTGCTCTGTTTTGCAAGAGAGGGAACTCCAAAATCAGCATTGGAATAAACCATTTTATACAATGGTTGAGAGGAGCCATGGGCAGACGTGGCCCACCAAAAAAGATGGCCAAAAGCATAAGGGTGTTGCCCAATCCTCCGTGTAGAGTTCAACGTAAATTCTCAATGTATCGAAAGAGAACAGAAGGACAGACACCCCATGTTGCTGCCTTATTGCAGAGGTTCTCAAAGTGTAGTTTACTTGGAGACAGTACTACAGAGACCCCATCAGGACTCTGGGGCCTTTTTAGGGGAACTGTGAGGTGAAAACTATTCTTGCAATAATGCTAAGATATTATTTACCTTTTGTAATATGTTCACATTAACACTGATGGTGTGAAAGCAAGGTCAGACTAACCACTGGAACTCCGAGCAGATTAAGGCAGTGGCCTTCAGTGTATCCGTAGTCAATGTGTTCTTTACTGCCAGCAACTTGTGATAAACAACCACTAAAAATTCAGTTTCACTTAGGAACGTCACTGATGAAACCATAAAATTATTAATTTTATTAAATTTCTGTACCTTTGAGTACACATCTTTTTATTATATGGTGTGACTAATTGGGAAATATGTATAAAGCACGATATACCGAAGTACCATGATTACCTCGAGTAGAACAACTTGTGTGGTTGTTTGAGCTGCAAGCTGGGCTGCCAAACTGTGGTTCCTCAGATCTGGGGACCTGGCAGACACCTTCTCAAAAGCGAAGTGGGCCTGTCACCTCACGGAACACAGCCGACAGCATTTGCTGCCAGTGATAAAATTCAAGCTCTCCAGAAAAACCTAGCATTTAGAAAACCTGTATCTGGCACTATGAATTTTTTAGCTTTCCAATATTTAAACCCTTTTCTGATGAGACTGCAAATGATGTTAATGAATGTGATTTTTGATATTGTATAATGAGATGTCTCAACACTTGGATCATCTGCATAACTCAGTAAACCAGTATTTTCCAAATGACCAGTAAATGATGTTACAAAATCATTCATTTGTAAAAGATTATTCAAAGGCAAGCAATGCATTTTCATGTAACAGAATACAAGTTCATTAACATAGTTTAATATTCTATGTTGTAATTTTCCTTTAAGAAAGTATAGTAGTCCCCCCTTATCTGAGGTTTTGCTTTCCACGGTTTCAGTTTCCTGAGGTCAATCATGAAACTGAAAATATTAAATGAAAAATTCCAGAAATAAACAACTCCTAAGCTTTAAAATGGCACACCATTCCGAGAAGTGTGATGCCATCCCGCTGTTTTGCCTTGGAAGTGAATCCTCCCTTTGTCCGCTGTATCCACGAGTATAGCTTACCTGCCTGCTAGTCACTTAGTAGCTAGCTGTCTCAGTCACTGGGCGGACTGCCGCAGTATCACAGTGCTTGTGTTCAGGTAACCCTTATTTTACTTAGTAATGGCCACAAATCACAAGAGCAGTGATGCCTGCCATTTGGATATACCAAACAGAAGGTGTAAAGTGCTTCCTTTAAGTCATAGGGAAAAAAACAAACAAACACAAAACAATTGTATGCTGAGATTGCTAAAATCTAGTCTAAGAATGAATCTTCTGTCAATGAAATTGTGAAGAAGGAAAAAGAAATTTATTCCAGTTTTGCTGTCTCACTTCAGATTACAAAGCTATGTCCAGTGTGTGTAAGAAGTGCTTAGTTAAGCTGGAAAAAGCATTAAACTTTATCATAGGTATGTATGTATAGGAAAAAACAGCATATATAGGGTTCAATACTATCTGCAGTTTCAAGCATTCACTGGGTGTCTTAGAGTGTATTCCCAGCACATAAGGGAGGACCACTGCACCATTTGTAGAGTTTTGGTATAGTATCAAAGAAGATTATCTGTACTTATCTGAAAAGGTTATTAAAATACTCTTTCCTTTTCTAATTATATATCTCTGTGTGAGATAGAATTTTCTTCATATATGCTAAAATAAAAAAAAAGTAACCCATGACAAGTTGAATGCAGAGGCAAATATGAGAATCCATGTGTCTTCTATTAAGCCAGATATTAAATTGATTTGAAAAAATGTAAAATAATGACGCTCTTTTCACTAAAATTCCTTTGTTTTTGACAATACAGTTATTTTCATAAAATACATCAACATGTAATAAGTTTACTATTGTTAATTCATTGTACATTGCTTTTTAAAATTAAATAGTATTTTTAAATTTGTTTTAATTTTTATATGGTGAATATTGAGAGACACAACCCACATAAACAAAAGTATGCTGGAGTTCTCAAAAATTTTTAAGTGTGTAAAAGGGGCCTTGCAATTAAAAAGCTTGAGAACTGCTGCTCCAAAATCCTTGCAGAGTAAGTAAGTGTTTTATATAAGTAATTAATAAGGAGAAGGCAACTCCACATTTACTAGTTTGTACTATTGTGGGGAGGCATCATGGCTTAATTAGACTTAATGGCAAATTTTGGTTATCAAGACAAAATCACCCCTGGAGAGGCCAAAGGAAAGTCAGCTATGACCTAAGATGGTAAAGATAACCTTTGAGAATATCACATTTTAAAAGTCCTGATTAACCTTTTCTGTGCCCTTCCAACTGGCTCCAGTCCCCTGAGTGTACAAATCTGCCCTTTCCCTTGAAGGAGGGCCTGACTCACACTCCCTGTTCTGCACTGGCCATGGTGGCCAGATGTGCACTGGAAACCTGCCTCCTAGGTCACGGTGAATGTCACTCTGAGTTCAACAGGCAGGACGCAGTACTTGGGGAGGTACCAGGCACTTCCAGAAACTGAGAATAAAAAATGAATGTGTCGTGGCTTTTGTCCTGGGGACTTTCTTTCTTTGATGGGGAAGAGAGACTCCCGAAGAAATAATTACAGTATGAGGTGATAAATGCTCTTCTGTACATAGTGACCAAATTTTTCCAACCAAAAATTGACACACTCTGACAGCTGACAATGGAACGGCCCTGAGGGATCTGGAACATGTCTGCTATATTTCTTAAGAAACTCCTCAAAACTCCATAGAAATTCTGTACATATTTGTCCTTGATTTGTCCCAAAGACCCAGAAACAATGGTCTGTACCTTTTTAAATTTATTTTTTAATTCTGGGAAATAATGGTGTCAGAACAGAAAAGAGCAAGAAGCTCATTAGGATTAGAAAAGATGAGTAATGGGCCCCTAACATTTTATTTCCTCTGGGTTGGTGGATGGGAGGCACTGGAGGGAATTTTTTCCTTCATACTTGTTCCAAGTGGTTTCTACCCCCAGGCAAAGAGCCCGAGTTTGAGCAGGTCTCCCACACCAGCTGAAGCAGATCAAACTGAATCCCAGAGTCAGAAGAATGAACCATTAAGAGGCTTCTGAGATCCCAAGCCTTAATTACATGTGGGTACAATTAAACAATAGGGCTCTTAATCTGCCAAGAAATGGAGTGCCCTCTGGGTGGGCTGTTTGGGGACCATGGAGGTTCTGGTCTGAACTGGGTATTCTTAAGCGCCAACCATGTATCGTTCGCTCCTCCTTTCTTTGGGGCTGACTCAGATCCCTCTCTTTAATCTCTTTCTCCCAGGCCCACTATTCTCTCCCAGCTGTGGCAACTCTAACGTGAAATGAACAAGAATAAAACAATGAACAGAAAAAGCATGCTCAGTGCCACACACGGACATCATGCCACCCACAGTTAGAGAGAATGGATGACACTGGGTCTCAAAGGCAATCCAAACGAATGGCAGGCAAGGACCTGCCAGGCCCCCATGGAATCTTGGATCCACTACTTCCACCTGACTGGGCAAATCATGACATTTCTCTGATCTCCAGTGAGCTCACACACAAAAACAGGTTATTTTTTTTTGAGAATTAAATGACATAATATATAAATGGCACACGGCACACAGTAAGTCTACTACTCACTGTCATAATTTTTACATCTTTTTGTGTGATCATTTGATCAGTGTCTGTCTCCCTATTAATCTCTGAGTTTTATAAGAACATAAGCTCTGTCCTTTTCTGTTCATTCTATCTCTAGAGTTTTGCACAGTGCCTGGCACATGCTAGACATTTGTTGAGAAAATTGTATGATAAAAGTGAGTTGGCAGAGTCCTAGTTTAGGATCTATTTCAAAAGAGCAAGTCTGAGGTCTCCTGACAGCTCTCATGGATTGGTCTTGGCTCTCTGGAGCATGGTGTCATGAAGGATTCTCAGGGGCCACGTGGAGCCAGGAGGAAAGGGTGTGCTGGTAGACTACCAGTATCTGTTGTGGTTAAGGATGTGGAGTTGTTGTTGACCTTGGTGTGTGGCGTCAAGAGCAGGTCCTTTTTGCCAGCTATTTCTAGCACAAAGATATCTGCAGTATGATTTGTGGATAGAGCTATTTGAGGAGGACTGAGGTTACCACATGTCTGACATGAAGATAAGCCACACAACCTCAGGAATAGTTTTTAAAATCACAAATAAGGAAACACTTGAAACGATGCTATGCAAAGAAGCTAGATGCATTCCACTATCTTGATGAATTCACTTGTGGGGAATGTGTCTTTCATGAATCATTTGGCAAGAGTGAGCAGACCTAACATAATTTAGCTCGTGTATTCCATAACTAGACAGACAGAACTTTGTAATGCACTTTTCCCAACCCATAAAGTAGCTACTCTACTCACGAGGATAATCCTTTGGGTGTGTCTTCTCAGACCAATTCCCATAAAATGTGAGTCTGTACTTGGCAGTCCCGCAGGCGCAGCAGTCTAAGATTGGTTTGTCAGTCACCCCGTCAAATGTGGAATCTGAAACAGGAAGGAGAGGCACCAAGTTAGGAAATACATGTAGGTCTTGGTCTCGTTCTTAATGCTTGGGAAAAAAAAAATATGAGGTAGTGTTTTCATTGATCAATAACACTCAGAACCAGGTCAGTACTTGGGTTATAAAGGATTTATATACCTCTAAGTATGGTAATTATATTCTGGAAAAAAGAAAAAGAACTTTTGCTCTAATTAAGCGAGGAGACCTGTGGGACCAATATGGCAGAATGTTTGGGATGAAGGTTATCTTGATAAAGTTGATTCAGTTATCCATTCTGGGCCCCAGTTTCTTTTCTTACCCATCCTACAACACTGTTTTTCCACCTTTTTTTTTTTTTTTTAAATTCTCACTCAAGGATATGTTCTATTGATTTCAGAGAGAAAAGTGTGTGTGGGGGTGGGTGGGTGGGGGAGAGACATTGATATGAGAGAGAAACATCAGTTGGTTGCCTCCTGCAAGCACCCCAACTGGGAATTGAACCTGTAACCTTTCAGTGTGTGGGACGATGCTCTAATTAACTGAGCCACACCGCTAGGGTTTTCCACCAAATTAAGGAATATGCATGTAGGTACGTGTGTGTTTTCTCTAAGAAATATCCTCTGGGGCCAAATTGCCAGGATCAGAAGGAATTGCTTTGAAGGAGAGCAGTGAGAACAGAAAGACAGAGAGACAGAGAGATAAAGGACTGCTGAAAATTATCATGATTATTATTATTTTAAATTCCAAATTATGTATTTTTTGAGACTTTATTTTTAGAGAGAGGGGAAAGGAGGGAGAAAGAGAAGAGAGAGAAACATCAATGTGTGGTTGTTTCTCCCACGGCCCCGACTGGGTATCTGGCCCACAACCCAGGCATGAACCGTGACTGGGAATTGAACCTATGACTCTGGTTTGCAGGCCAGCACTCAATCCACTGAGCCACATCAGTCAGGGCTGAAGTTATTTTTTAAAAAAGATATGCATATACAGTCACATTACTTCTTATCAAGCTTCAGAAATTTTAATGGGAGAGGTAGGGATTTAGAAATATGTTCCTAAATTCAGGTTTACTTATGAGCACAGTGCTAGCCAGGAAAAAGTTAAGATTCCCTCTCTGTCCCTATTTTTAGCTGTGAATAGCTGATAAGTAGGGAAAGAGAGATTACATGAATAAATTCAGAATATCTGATTGTCAAGCCCACATCCCTAACTGTGCATTGTTGCTTGTAGTCTGTTCCTCTTACTCTAAAACAAAACAATGACTACAGCTGGAACTTGCTTCAATTGCTTCGTCTTTTCATCTTCTGTTCACCTAGCTGTATTAACATAAATGTTCTTTTTATCCTCAAGTTGGACACTTATTCTTAAATATTATATAAAGAACAGTAACAAATAATACAAAAATCTCTTGAGTGTAAGGAAGAGCATTTTACAAGTGTTCCATATGGAATTTACTGGGTTCATTTGCTTTGCATATGCAAAATCAGTGATGGGGAGAGGAAGTGCATTCTGGGTTCTAGGATGGGGAAAAAGGATGGGTTATTGTAATAATAACTACACCATAAGAGTCCCTGTATGTGTTGATTCTTTTCTATATATTTCTAGGTTTGTCCTAGCACTCCTAGGAGGTAAATACTTTAGTTAACCGCATTTTACAGATCAGGAAACAGAGGCAGATTAGGTCACCAGCCCAAGGTTACAGGCTTAGTGAGTGGTGCCAGCAGAACTGGCAGTCAGGCCTTTTTGAGTCTGGGGCCCATGCTCTTAACCTCTGCATTATACACGGCTAGGAAAGACCTTTTGCTGGATAGGTCTGCAGAAATACCAATGAATGAATTTTTTTCTGTGTTTCTCTTTTTGCTTTTTCAAATGAAGAACGGTCTATTTAGAAAATTATCTCCCTGAACAGCTCCAGGATTTCTAAACAGTCCCAAAGAAGAGGTCTGAAACCACCCAAAATAGAAATCATTGTGTGGCTACTCTTTGTACATGAGGAAGAGGCCAGAGCATCGTCTGTGCTTAGGAGCAGGCTCCCCACTGCCTCATGCACAAGAAACCCACATCTGATTCCTATGAGAGCCACTTTGATAGTTAAGGGACAAGCCCTGTTGAATATATTTTAGGAAAGGCAGGGTAAATCAGTAACTCCTGAAGATATTTTGTTTTTTACATTTCCATTATGACCAACTCTGCTCTGAAAAAAACCAAATCAGTTTTGAAAAAGGGATTTAGAGCTCAGAGATGTTAACCACCAGGCAGCATCAAATGAGGCAGGAATAATTTTTCAAGGAACCAAACTAAGGCAAATTGGTAAGTTTACCTTATCAAAAGGGCTCTCAGGTATAGGTAGTAAACTTAAGATGTATCCAGGAGTTCAAAGGAATACACTTATAATAAATCCTTTGGACTTCTAAGAGAAAATAAGCTTCCACTTAAAAAAATAAATGTCTAAGTTTGAAATTAGAAACAGACATACAGTTTCCTAGTGAGGGGAGGCCTATTGAATGTGAGCCAGGTTTTCAAAGGGCAGCGATAACAAATGCTCACTCCCCCTCTGCTCCTAACCACAGCAGGGCCTGCCAACTACAGGCAACCTCAGGTGGTGCAGCACCTCCCGAAATGCGCTCTCTCCCCAATTCTACTCTCAATCCATCGGCTTCCTTTCCAGCTCCCATTCTGTCTGCTTCGTTCTTCTTACCTTTTCTCATTATCCCTTATCTCTCACACTCTCCTCTCTTTTTTGCTTTCCCTTCATCCTTCCCTCTCCTTGTCTCTTTCCCTTAATTGTTTGTGACACGGTTTTAAAGTGACCATGTGGGTGCATATGTTTATGATAGGTCACCTTTTTGAATATTTTATGTTTCTCATTTAATTGTAAGTAGCTTAATGTTTTATGTTCCTTTTTTGAAATAGTGATTGCCGTTGCCTTTGATCCGTGCAGTTCTTAATTTTTCCCCTATGCATTAACAGCTTCAACTGGGGGAAAAAATAGATACTCGTTTCTCTCTCTCCTTCCTTGATAAATTTGATTGGACTCACCACAGAAGCAAAGAACGTAAAGACCTTAATGAAAGAGCTAGAGATAATTAAGTAGTCATACACATTTAAGAAAAATCCCTTTGCTCTATGCTCATAAATTAAAGACTTTCTTAACGTGATCTGCACGCTAATTGATGAATTTCCTCATGGGTCTGCTGCTTCCAGGCATCATCTCCAACTGTGCCTAAGGGTTGTACAGCCCAGGTCCTGCTGGGCCTTTCCCCCCCACCCCATAAAGTTGCCATTAGAAAGTGGTGTTTTATGCAGGTGTGTGCTTAGTCATTTTGATAGGATCTCTGCTTCAGAAATGACAACCAACAGAGATTTGCAATGCCATTTTATTGACACTGTATGTGCAGAATTTTAGCATATTCATAGCTTAGACAACGACTGAGACTTTGGAAACTGCACTTAGTTAAGGATTTCTATCAGTACATGGATGTGTCCACGAGTGTCTTCTAAGAAGCCTCAAATCCAGGAAATAAGGCTGTTTTCTGATAGTCAAACTAACAAAGGCATACGCCCGTGGGTGTAAACTGAGAGGCGGCCTGTAAACATGTGATCCAGAAAACCCACAACTCTAACCCATGGGCCCTCAATGTCATCACATGGAGTCGGGGCAGGAATGTGATTGCTCTTTAAGAACCAAGAGCCTCAACAGTTGAGATGTTCTCTGTTTGGAGGAAAGCTGGGTGAACCAGTGGACAATGAAACACAGGGAAGGAAAGCCATGTGTGGTGATGTCCGTCTGGAAGCCGACCAGGGCCCTGGCCCACAGGTTCCAGCTCTCTGGCCCTTATGGCAGTTATGGCTCTAATGCATGGTATCTGACCTCTCCCCTTTTGCTCTTTCCATGGTCCCCGTGCACCACCCCTCCCCCGCATTTAGGACCTAATTTCTGTTCTAGTTCATCTATAGGGAAGCCTATGCGTTACTATGCTTTGATCTAACAAAGGTAACATTTGATGCTACTGAGTGGGAGGTAGTCCCTTTGATAGAAAGGAAGTGGTTAAGGGCATTGGCTCTTAGATTCAAACCCTGCCTCCTACCACTGGCTGTATGATGCTGAGCAAGCCATTTAAACTTTTCCTGCCTGGGGCCATCTATAAAATAGGAATGATGTAATTAATAGTTTTTACCAAACAGGGTTGTGCAGATTACATGATTGAAGATGTGGAGTGCTTAGAATAGTGCCTGACATGTAACAAGCACTCAAAAAATATTCTCTCTTATAATTCTCCCAGAAGACTTTTATCAACCTTTTTCTTAGTAGTTTATGATTTGCTAGAATGGGAAAGGATTAGTTCTTCTCAAAATGCTAATTACTTTAAATGCAAATAAAATCTTGCAAAAAATGAATAGAAATGAGATAAAGATGTATAATTATAGAACATTTTCTATTTTTATTTAGTTTTTTAATGACTTCTAAACACATTCAGATGTTTAAGGTCTTAATTTTATGGAAGATTAACAAACAAGCTTTCAGATATAGATAATGATATCTAATACTTATAAATAGCATTTACTATGTGCCAAGGACGCATGGTACTATTTTACATACATTAAGTCAGATGGTTAGGAAGGGCAGAGGCAGCCTTTAAACCAGGGATGGATCTGAGACCAGGCCTCTCTGCTCTGACCTCCCCTGTTTATTCGGTCTGCATGGGCTCTGTTAGACTGCCTTCAACCCATCAAGAGGGCGATGGTGAGCTTGCAAATCTAAGGACCAGATCTCTGAAGGTGGGGATATCACAAGGTCAGTGCCCTCTTAGCAACTCCATCTCCCTGGAGAAGATCCCCCCACATTGCCTGGGTGCTACACAGGTTCCTGCTGGCAGTTTTTCTGGAAAGCCATTAGAAACTTCTTAAAGGTACACAATTGTGCATTCCTTAATTAAGTCCTGTGAATTTATTCCAAGGAACCTCTTCAGAATAATCACTGTTTCACAAAAATAAAAGACGACACCAATATAAGGTACATTATCTCTTACCCAGGGAATCAAGCTGGGTAATTAGAGCTTAAGGCGGATCCAATTATCCACAGCACACAGCCAAATTAAAAATTGGAGCTACGTGAGGAAGCAGGACTGGAGGAACTCAGGAAGCCCCATCATCTTTATTCCCGAGGCCAGATGTTTGGACTGAATGAGCCGCGTTCCACTTATTTGGCCCTCTCCCACCCACATGTTCTTACCTTGTTCACAAAGTTTCTTGGTCAGAGAGCCCTCATCCTGAAAATAAATGATGCGTTTCTGTACGATGCTGGCCCTGTGGGGAAAGACACAAGTGCAGTGATGAGGAAGGCAGACTGGGGGATGTCAGTTCCGTGCTTGGCCACCCATGGCTTTGTGGCTTTGGAAGAGCCACCTCAATGCTCTGTGCCTCAGTTTCTTCATAGGAAAATTGACATTAATAATAATACCTACCCCATGCGATTGCTGTGAGAACTAAATAAGAATATATGTTAAGAGCTTAGCAATAACCTAGAAACCACTCAATAAATATTAGTAATTGTGTTGGCGGTGTTGGTGCTAACATTAAGGTAAGAAAGTGAACTAACAGCATTTTCAATAACTTTTCTCAATGGTTCATTTCACTCTAGTTTCATATAAACTATTGAGGCCATGTGTAGATCAACCAAATTCAAATCAGAGAAGCATGTCAAATCCTCTTCCTGAAGGGGAAAAAAGGAATTTAAAAATACATTCTGATTTTTTCTGAAAATGTCATTCTATATCTTTCCTGAAAGTCTAGACAAAACTGTCTCCTGCATTCTGAACAAAGACAACTTCAGCTGTTATATCTCTCCCTTAAACATGTCAAACACAGGTTCTTAGAATCTGGAAAGAATATTTTGAGGTTGAAAAATGACTTACTTTTAGCCAGCACATATTTTCTCGTTAATTAGGATCACACAGACATTCTACTTCTTCTTTAACCCACCCTGCTACTTATTTTTAGCTGGCTGTGCAGAAGTTGAATCCCAAAACCCAGTGTTCCAGTAATTTAAAAGCCTACTACACTTAACGCTGAGATGGTGCCAATGGACCTCCAGCCATTTCTGCTGATTTTCTTCAGCAATGCTACTCAATCAAAAGGTAATTTTTACTTTGCTTTACCCTATTAAACAGATAAAGGGAGCCCTTGACTCATCCCAGTTGTCTATACTCAACGAGTGAAAGTCACACGATTTGCCCAGTGTCACACGATCTCACATGCAAGAATGAAGCCAAGTGTGCACAGATTTGCTGAGTACAGAGGCACTTTTCTCAATGGTCTGGGCCTAGGCCAAGATGACTTTCCAAAGAAATGTCTACTCTGCACCCTGTCTTGCACAAAAGGATAAAATTCAGACCAATCTACATATGTCTTTTATAGTTTCTCCCCACCCAAGGGAGACAACATGTTGAAATAAATGAATGAAATATACTTCTTGTCAACACAAAGCTACTTTGATCATTTACAATGATCATTCTGTTGACCATCAAGCAGAAAGTTTCCTCAGGCCAAGAGAACACTCTTGAGAACACTTACTCTCATCCCAAAGCCAGATACTACAGCCTTTTATTAGTCAGAGTATCCCACAGTGCTTTTCAGAGTGTTTCCCACCGAGAAGGGCCCCAGGGATCCCTGTAGAAGGCAAGGAGAAGGCGGCCTAGTGGGAAGCATTCCAGGTCCCACATTCTTGCTTCAACCAAAGGCTCTCTCCTCACTTCAGCCAAAGCAGCCTCCTTCCTCTCCTGCCTTCTTGTTGTATTTACTCGTACATTTTCAACAAATAGTTGTTGGAGGACTACTTAGTGGCCAGACACTGGCTAGGGGCACTGTCATGAGCAAGACAGATGGGGCAACTTTCCATGCTCAAAGTTTACGGTACAGTGGAAGTAAAAGCACCAAACAACTAAATCCTCACCTACTCATTTAACACAACTGTGATTAAGTGCTGAATGGAGAAGTCCACAAGGTGTGGGAGAGTTTAACACAGGGGGTCCTGATCAAGCTGGAAAAGCTTCCCCCAGAAAAGATGGCTAAGCATAGATTTGAAAGAGAAGCTAACTAGGCAAGTGGAAAGGCGAAGCAAGGGAGAGGGCCTTCCTTGTAAAAATCCTTGAAGTGGGGGAGGGGCAGGGCTCATCTGAGAACCTACAAACGGAGAGCCAGGAAGTGGTGTGAGACAGTTGGAGAGCAGGCAGAACCACATCACTCAGAGCCTGCAAGGAGATGGCCTTTTACTCCAGGCCTGATGAGATTGCTCTGAAGAGTGTGTCCCGGGGAAGGAGATGATCAGATTTGCGCTTTTGAAAAAGCACTTGGGCCATAGAGTAAAAACAGGTGGGTCTGTGGTTGCAGTAAAGCGCTCCCACACCAGTCAAACTTTGTCTCAATAGAACCCTCTTGCCAAAATAGTTTGAAAACCCCTGATGTACAGGATGAAATACAAACTTACTGTGGTTTCATTTATTGCCATTTGGTGCCATGCTCCCTGGGTCGCGGACTGTGAGGCGTTTACGTCCCTTTGCCTGAACTCCTCCTCAGCTCTACCAGGCCCTTGTCTGTGCTGTTTCCTCTCTCAGAAGCTCCCAGACCCTGCCTTTGCTAGTGTCTCTAACAAATATTTTGAATTTTCTTCCTCTTGCTGTAAATAGGAGAACAATGAATGTCAAAGCCAATCATTTAAAAGCATGATCACACTTTGAAAAATTAAATCATCTCTATATTTTCCAAAATTAGGATTGTAAAAATCTGGGAGGCCAGAGATAGAAAATATGTATTTCCTGTAAGATGCTTCAGTTTCCCTCATTCCTTGTTTTCTAAAATCTCACATGGCTCACTTTCTCATTTTGATAATAGTTGTAATTTCTGAGCCCTTACACTGTGCCTGCCTGCTAGTCCCTGTGCTATGGAGGCCCTTTATGCACATTATTCCCTGTATGATATGCATTATATATACTACAGGTCCTCAAATTCCTCATCCAAGACCCTTGGGCTAGATGTGTTTTTGAATTAATTTTTCAGATACTATTAACATTCCTAAAATTAAATACATCAATATTCTGCAGCAAAATGTAAGAATATTTATACTAAGAGGGTAAATAAAACCATAAGTAGCTTCAAGTCACTTCAGGTCAAGCTTGGCAAACTTATAAGAATGCTAGTGTTTTCAGAGGGATTAAGATGAGGGCTTATCTTTGAAACAAGAATGACTGAGACGCAGGAAGGTGAAAGTAACATGCGTGAGGCTTTGCATTCTTCTGTCTACCTCCAAAGTCCATGGTTGGTGTTATGCTTAGAGTGGTTGTAAGGATTAAAGGTTAGGTATCAAAAGTACAATTGCCCTGTGAGGTAGGCATTATTATGAAATGTAACCCCAATGAATTTTCCTTGGATCTGTTTTCCTCGGATAATCTCATGGAACACACAGCGGAGAACTGAGATTTGGGTGGGTCTGCTTGGAGCCGGGCTCGTGCCCACTAGGAAAAGCCTGAGCACACATCTTCATGTGCTTGGTCAGCCCCCTGTGTCATGCCCTTTGGATTTCAAACTCTGCGCAGATTAAATGTGGGCTACAAGGCTTGTTCTGATCTGGCCTCATCCCTATCCAGTCCTTCATGAGCACTCTCTCCCAGTTGTGTCCTATACCTGTGTTCATGGTCTTAGACCTCTGGGCGTCTGTCCATGGGACTTCTGTCCTTCTTCATGACTCCTCAACACCACACACACGTGCACGCACTTCAGTTACCTAACTCTGAACTAAGTTATACTGAACTTGGTTATACTGATCTAAGATGTAACTTCCTTCTCATGATTCCTTGACCAGGTGCTCTTCCTATGAGAACCACAGCCACAGCCTCTTGGATTTCTCCAACCGCAGCACTGATTAACCTGTATTGTAATCGCCGGTTTACTTTTCTATCCCTATGCTAGATTATTAGATTTTTGAGAGCAGAAACTGCATCTTATTTATTTCTATAGACATTACTAACATCACTGTAGTACTGGGAGAAGAGACAGGGTTTGGGGAAAAGGAGAGAATTTGAGATTGAGCTATCTATAGGATATGAAGGTGAGTAGGCAGTTTGGGGCTAGTGGGCAGTTTGACATAGGGAACTGTAACTCAGGAGAGATGTGAGGGGTGGGGAGTGTGGAAATGGAGGTCACTGAGGCAGAAGTAAAAGTTGAAGCTTTCAGAGTGGCTGTCCCCCAGGGGAAGTGTACAGAGGAAGAAGTCAAGCTAAGCCCAGAACTCTGAAGAAGACCAACACCTACTGATACACGAGCAGAGACCAAGACTTTGATGTGCTTAGTTGCAGAAGATGTTTCTTTTTACTCCTCATTTGGTCAACTCCTGAGAGATTTTTATATTCTGAGAAAAAGCATTTCACTTTAAGTCTCTTCGCATCAAAGTATAAAACTCAGCTGAGATTTATAAATCATATTATCGTTCAGGAGAATAATAGCTTTACAAGATGAGAAAGCTGTTAGTAAGAATTCCCTTAGCATTTCAAAATGACAAATTTCTCCCATTCTGTGTTGCAGTTTGGCAGTCCTGTTGCATAGCATTTATATACTGATCTACTGAATGCTCTCTTATCATGAGAGAGTGTGTTAAGGAAATCTAAATTAAATTTCTCAGTGTGTTAGCTTCTCAAACTTTGGAATATTGAGATTCTAAAGAACTTAATCATTTCAAAAGTTTTCTTTTAAACCTTAAAGTGGGACACTTCCAGAAACGCTATCCTGAATATCTTGGATGCTTGGCCCTTCTCTGTCTGAAGGGTTTATTTATTGGCTGTTCTTTTTCCTTGGAGAATTTGTCTGTTGAAGGGAAGTTAGAGGTTGCTAGGCTGTGGGTTTGCTGTCTGGTGCTGAAAGGGCTGGGGATCCTTGCTCTCTCTGAGAGTGGACAGGGAGACCCCAGAAACTGAAGTACATGGCCATGAAATAACTTAAAAATGCACTTGGATCCTCAGCGGCTGGGTCACTGCTGTGTACAGATAGTTCATGCAAGGTCCCCCCTACATGCACGTTGCGAAATAAATATTCAGTATGTGGTGGCCATTATTGTTGTTATTGGTAAATCACCAGCCCTTAAAAAAGTGCCTGGCATATTAATATATTTAATAAATAGCAGCTATTGTTAAGATCGATGACAAGTCTGCCTCCTTCCCTTGCGGAGGGAGGAGGGAGGAGTGAGGGGGCTACCCTGGTCACCTGTTGCAGGCAGAGGTAATGAATGGCCACAATGAAGCTTGGGTTTGTGGTCTCCA